ACATTTTTTTTCCAAGCAGAAGGCAAAACAAGAATGCGCAAATAAGAATAGTGTTCATCTGGAAGGGTAGCGTTTCTGTTGGTTTGCTTCTTTTCTTTTTCATTTCACCAGTTTTCCGCTACAATAATGTATTATTTTTGCTCTTGCTTTAAAATTACTTTTCAAATTATTATTTTGTAATATTTATTTTACTACATAGGAGTCCTATGTAGCCCTCTGTGGTGGTACAGTGGTTAAAGTGCTTGCCTGCAGACCAAAAGGTCAGCAGTTTAAAGCCACCAGCCGCTCTGAGGAAGAAAGCTGTAGAAGTCTGGTGGTGTAAAGATTTACAGCCTTGGAAACCCTCTAGGGCGGTTTTACTCTGTCCTATATGGTGGTGGCTGTGAGTCAGAATCCACAGCAGTGGCGTGGGGTGGGGTGGGGTGGGGTTTGTTACTTGTTGTTAGAAATGCAAACAGCATTGAAGAGCATAAAGCAAAAGCAGATCAGGAATAAAATGAAGTATGTAGAAGAAGGAGCTCTGGTAGCGTAGTGGTTACCAATCGGGACTGCTAACCTTAGGGTCATCAGTTCGAAACTATCAGCTGTTCCGCGGGAGAAAGATGAGGCTTTCTCCTGGAAACCGACTCCACGGCACATAATAACAACAACATCTAGAAGAAAGCAGGATGGTTCTACTTCCATGGGGACAGCATTAAGCACCAGCCTCGGACTGGGAAGGGCAGGTTGGGACCTGGGTCTGGCAACTTTGCTCTCAGTGCAGGGAGTCTGAAGAAGGAGGAGGGAGACCGATCTGTTCCTTCACATCCGGGGCAGAGAGCAGATGGCAGAGATGGGAGAGTCCAGATCCTACAGGTCCTGCAACAGCTGGCCGGTGAGACAGTGGCGGAGCTGGGGGGCAAATGAGCCAAGCTGGGCAGCATCCTGAGTGAACTTTCCCAGGTGCCATCTCACTTGAGCCTCCCAGTGACCTGGGCAAGCTAGCATACCCATTTTACTGATGAACTGAAGCACAGAGAAGTTAAGAACAACTCAAGGACACACAGTACAGGGGGCTGTGCTGATAAAGGCCCAGGCAGAAATTTGAGCGTAGAACTAGTTCTCACTCACTCGTGGGGAAACCGAAGCCCAGAGACAGGGAACATAAAGCTTGGTGTCCCAGGTGCTGGTGGCCCCTCCTGGCCCTAACCTCCCACCTTGCTCCCTCTTGTCTCTCTCACCTGCGTCCCTTGCAGCTTTCCTTCTGTGGTGCCATCAGAAGGGACTTTCCAAGCAGAAGAGGGGAGTCCAGGGAGAAGCTGCTCAGACTCCACTGAAAACTCAGAGGGCAGGGCAGCCTCCTCAAGCCTCATGTATGTATGCTGCAGCTCCCACCATGGCGGTTCCACTGGACACTCAGCACCAGAAAGCCTGGCTCTGCAGGTAGGGGACACACAGGATTTGAGTGGTGTTGGGCAGTAGAGTCCCCTCCCTAAGGCAGCATGTGGGACCCAGCTCTCAACAAGCCCTGGTATTTAGACACGACGATGGAAACAACCAGAGAAATAGCTCTTGTTTATCAAATGCCGGGACATCCTGGTGTTGCAAATGGTTAAGCACTCTGCTGCTAACTGAAAGGTTAGCAGTTTGAGCCCATTCAACAGCTCCATAATGGGTAGACGTGGTGATCTGTTTCTGTAAAGTTTACAGCCAAGGAAACTATAGGAGCCGTTCTACTCTCATATGGGGTCAAAATGAGTCAAAATGGACTCAACAGCAAGTAACAAGCTAACACAAGATGTGTTGGACACCACCCCAGGGACTGGGACTTGATTAAGCAAATCTTAGTCCTGGCCCTGAGCCCTCATAGAATCCATGAAACTTGGGTCAGGAAGGGGAACAGACAGGAAACCAGCCATCACAAAGTGAGTGTGTAACTACTGCCTCAGTTACGTGTTATGAGAGAAATGGATTCAGATCTATGAGTTTGTTTTTTTCCTTTTTGTTACCTCTTTGTTATGGTCATTTCATCTTACACAAAAGTAGAATACAACAAAACGCTCATGGACCCATCACCAGCTTCAACTGAATCACCTCCTAAGAATGTTTCTCTGTACCCTACCTAATTCCTCCCTCTTGTATTATTTGGAGGCAGATCCCAGGCATTGTATCATGTCAACCATAAATATTTCTGTAAGCCTGTCTAAAAGATAAGGACTCTGAAAAAATATGACCACAATCGTATTATCACACCTAAGAAAATGAACAATAATTCTTTAAATATCTGGTTTGCATGCGAAATTTCCAGTATTTGGTTGGTATTCAAATACTGAGTGGTTTGAACAGACCAAGAAGACACTGATTGGTTTAAAATCAAGAAAAGTATGCACCAAGGCTGTATTCTTTCACCATACTTATTCATTCTGTATGCTGAGCAAATCATCCGAGATCCTAGATTATATGAAGAAGAATGTGGCATCAGGATTGGAGGAAGACTCATTAACAACCTTCGATATGCAGATGATACCACTTTGCTTATTGAAAGTGAAGAGGACTTAAAATATTTACGGATGAAACTCAAAGGCCACAGCCTCAGGTATGGGTTGCATCTTAATGTAAAAAAAAAAACAAAAATCCTCACAATTGGACCAATAAACAACATCATGATAAATGGAAAAAAGATTGAAGTTGTTAAAGACTTCATTTTGCTTGGATCCACCATCAACACTCATGGAAGCAGCAGTCAAGAAATCATAGGACGCATTGCATTAGGCAAATCTGCTATACAAGACCTCTTTAAAGTGTTGAAGAGCAAAGATGTCAGTTTGAGGACTAAGGTGCGCCTGACCCAAACCATGGTATTTTCAGTAGTCTTATATGCATGTGAAGGAGCTCTGGTAGTGTAGTGGTTATGAGTTGGACTGCTAATCTCAAGATCAGCAGTTCGAAACTACCAACTGTTCCTCGGGAGAAAGGTGAGGCTTTCTGCTCCCAAAAAGATTTCCAACCTCAGAAACCCTATACGGGGCGATGAATCAGAACCAACTCCATAGCACACAACCACCACCACCACAGTGTACATGTGAAAGTTGGGCAGTGAATAAGGAAGACCGTAGAAGGATTGATGCATTTGAGTTATGGTGCTGGAGAAGAATATTAAAAGACTAAAAGAATACTTTGAGTCCTGGTGTGGTGCTATGGGTTAATGCGCTGGACTGAAAGGTCGCTTTGAACTGCAAAGTTGGTGGTTCAAGCACTCCTTGGAAACCCTATACAGTGTTGCTATGAGTTGGTACCAACTTAACGGTACTTAGCAACGATGGATTGCCAAAAGAACAAACAAAAATACAGAATGCTCTTTGTTGTTGTTAAGTGCTATCAAGTCGGTTCCGACTCATCGTGACCCTGTATAGGGTTTCTAAGGAGCGGCTGGTGAGTTTGAGCTACCGACCTTGAGGTTCAAACTGACTTTGTGGCCCAGTAAAATCACTGGTTACCAAGGGGAGGTGACTGGAGGGAGATAAAAGGGTGCAGAGAAACCTGATAGGATGCCACTGCAGCTGCCCCAATGCCCAGAGATGATGATGGTGTTGTCACCTGATTGGGAGCATGCCATCCTGTCCTTTGAGCAGCCCCATTTCACAGATCAGGAGACTGAGGCTCAGAGAGGTTTATGGCTTGCCCAGTGTCTAGTATGTAGCTGGCAGCCATCCCAGCACCGGCACTGCCCCTTGACTTCCTCAGGTGCTTTGGGGTCTGGCATCAGTTTGTGCAAAGAGAAGCCCATTGCCGAGACCACCTGGCTGACCGCCGGGTAAGGACCCTGAACACGTGCTTGCAACAGTGGGTGCAGATGAAACAGCTCCGTGTCTTAGATGGCATGAAGGTGACCCAGCTGTCCCTCTGCCGACAGAAGACAGGTGAGTGGCGGGCTGAGGAACCAGGCTGAGATGGGGCACCCTTTCCCTCCCTGTCCAGGCCTCCCTACCCCAGAAAATGGGGACACCGAAGTCGTTCATCAGTGGGCTCCATTGGATTCATAGATTTTTGTGATGGAAGGTGGTAAAACAGGGTATATTTGGGGTGCTTATCCTCACCCCCTGGTGACCTCCTATACCAGAGAGGCACGGTTCCAATTTCTCCCATCATGAACCAGAAGACGTCTGTCTAGTGTAATGCTGGGTTATCCTACAAACAAGGGATCTGGTCTCTGCTTTTAGGAAACTCCTGGTCTGATGGGGGTGATGGGAAGTAGCCCTCCCCCACTCCTGGGATACTCCCCAAAATCAACTTGGTGAGGGGAAGCATCCTGGAGGGGGTTTGAAGACTGCGGGAGGGGGCGGTGCCCATGAGGGGAGAGGTCCCCAGGAGGCTGAGGCAGTAGCTGTGAGCAGAGGGCAGTCAGCAGGAGTGTGGCTGGGTCATCTCTGTCTGCTTCTCGGACCGCAGCCCTCCCTGGCCCAGCCCCTGGAGCAGCCGCGGCCCAGGACCCTGGGGCCGTGGCCCAGGCCCAGGGGCCGCTCCTAGGGCGAGGTCGGGGCTCCCTGCAGGAAGCCTGTCGGAAGCTGGCCCTCCAGCGGGCACTTCAACTCTGGAGGATGCAGCTCTCCCAGTGCCAGCAGGCCAAGTAGGTGTTTAAGAGCTTGGGACCTGGGGTAGTGGGTGGGGACGTGAAGGGACATAGCCTGGGCCTGGTCTGGACATAGGTCCCCAGGAGGTGGCCTGGAGGCACTGAGTCAGTGAGTGGAGAGAGAGTCATTGAGAGCCGTACGCTGTGGGAACATAGGCATGGAGCTTTGCCAAGGGAACTGGGGACTGATGGGGAGGCCTACCCTGACCACTGTCCCCTCCACACAGAGCCCCTAGTGGCAGGAGCCCTGTCTGTCTGCCCACCGCTGGGTCCCCTGAATCCAGCAGGTGCTGGGGGCCCAGAATAGGCATTGTAGATGAAGCAGGAAAGGGGCAAAGCCAGTGCCCCCCCTCTGCCTAATGATACAAATATTAGAGAAACTGAGGCTCAGAGGGATTGAGCAGCTTGCTGTGAATCAGGAGCATGGAAGGGGTCTGTAGCTAGACCATGGAGCTACCTTTGACGCTGGCTCAGATGGTGGGTGAAGGTGTGAGGTAGCTTCCCTGATGGGATGCCAGGGGGACCCTAAGTCAGCAATCTGTCCTGGAAAGTCACACATGGGGCACCCACTGTCCCTATACCCACTTGGTCCACTTGGACTTCCAAGCTCTCTCAATGTACCCTGGGGCCCCCAGGGGAACTCAGTTCACCATGAGCCTTCAGACTTCAGGCCCCAGTCCATCCTCTGGCCTTCAGGCATCGGAAGAGATCCCCCTAAACTCACACTCAACGCAGACCAGCAGGGCCACTATGGGAGTGTGGGGAAATGACTCTCTGCAGGCTTCAGTTTTCCCATCCACAATGGAGCAGAGGTAGAATTTCTGGTGTGGTTGTGCTTGTGGTCTCTGGAGTCAGGGATCCCTGGGTCTAGGGTCCAGTTCTCCCCCTTATCAACTACGTGGTCTCCACCTCAACCCCAGAGAGCAGCTAGGGTCGTTGAAGGATCAGCCTTGGCTGCTCACTAAAGTCAACCTGGACAGCTCTAGAAAGATCCAAAATCATCAAATCAGAATCCCTGGGAGTGGACCCAGTGGGTGGCAGAAGCAGCCAGCTTGGGAGTCAGGGGGCAGGGGGCACACATGGTGAATACCCTTCCATCTCGGTTTTTTCACAAGGGCCAGGCGGGAGTCCCAAGACTCACTTGCCTCTTTCTGTAGCTTCTTCCTCCAGGGCCTACAGCAGCGGACTCTGCAGCGTATTCTACACCAATGGCACTCGAGGGTGTGGGATCCCTGCACTCTGTCCAGTAGCCCCAGGACAACCTCGTCCCCAAAGCTTCTGGGCAGCATCTCAGGAGGGGAGAGCGCCCTGGAGAAGGTGAGGGGCTTGAGTGGGCTGGAGCAGGCAGGTGGAGAAGGTGGAGAGGGAGGGGTGGGCAGGGGTCCCAGGACTCCACCCCTCCTCCCTAGGTTCCTAGAGACCCTGCCATCCAGGGTACCCTCCTGGTGACCTTTCTTTGGGCAACTGGGCAGCGGCGGCAGAAACAGCACCTAATGCTCTGGCAGGCACGTGCACAGCAGGTGCAGAGCGCAGTGAGGCGGTACCAACACACCCTCCAGAGGCGGTAGGGACTGACCCCTCCTCCCCAGGACAGGCCAGCTTGGGTTGACCGCCACTTTGTGGCTTTACTGTGCCTCTCCAGGCCCTTTCTGCCCATCTGTCCTTGACCTGCTGTCCCCATAGGGTCTGTATCCAAGACCCCACATGCCCAGCCAGCTCAGCCCCCAGACTTAGCTCTTCTGAACTCTTCCCACCCTCCTACCCTGCTGACCAAAGTAGGGGGTATATACACTTCTCTCAGAGATTTCACCACTGTGGTTTGCTCATTTATTCACTCACAGCACAGTGCTTTAGAGTTGGTCCACCTGGGTTCTAATCCCAGCTTTGCTCACACTGTGCCTCTATTGCTCCATCTGTAAAATGGGTTAATGATAGTATTCACCCCAGTGAGCATTATTAAGGCTGGGGCACGGAGCCTGGCACATAGCAAGTGCTCCCTCCGAGTAGTTATCATCGCTAGTGGCTGAGCATTGGGGTCTGTGGTCCCATCCTTTTCCCATCACTTGTCATTGTGACCCTCAGAGAGGCATTTAATCACCTCAGTCTCTAGAAACCACCCTCCCCTAAAATGGAAACAGGGAGAAGAGTCATTCCTGCCTGGATGGCAGGGACCATCCTCAGGGTGCACATACTCTTTCCCAGCATCCTCCTCAGCTGGAGCCACTGGACAACAGCCCAAGGGGCCCGGAGAGAGCTGGCAGACCGCTGGGCCTGGGCTCGGAACTGCAGGGTCGCACTGGGCCTGTGGCGGCAGCGGCTGGTGCAGTGGTTGGCAGCAGAGCGGTGGGCCCAGGAGCGGGACCGGGGACTGGCACGAAATGCCCTGCACCACTGGCATTCCTGCTGGCAGAGTGAGCCAGGGACTGGGCCAAGGGCACTGCAATGAGGGAAGGGCCAGGGTCCCTCAAGGAGTCCCTGTCCTGAAGCACAGAGCCCAGTGATATGGCTCCCTACAGGGGCACATCCCGTAAGCCAGACTTGGGGATATAGGCTCGAGTCCCTTCTCTTTTTAAGCTAGCTAGTTCACCTTTCCACATCTCAGTTTACTCATCTGTAAAATGGCCACATCTGTAAAATGGCTACAGTAGTAGTGGCCACCTCCTAAGGTGGTTGTGGAGATGCTCTGAGAGCATCCATGCCAGGACCATGGCTCAGAGCCCTCGTAGGTGTTACCATCAGCAGCTGCAGCATCTTCATCCTTGTCCTCTCCCCTGGCCCTCAGGGATCGCTGCTGTGAACTCTGAGTTGGAGGTAGAGTCATGGAGCCTGTACAGTCCAGCAGACTTAGGGAGGAGTTGAGGAGGACAGGACACTCAGTGGGCAGAGCAGTGGAGAGGGAAGTTGAGGCAATGGGAATGGCCCACCCTGGGTGGGGAGGTTGGAAAAGCTAGATGCGCTGAGCTGCCTGAGCTGCAGCTTCTTCAACAGGTCAGAGAAACATGACCAAGGATGAGAGGAAGGACCCCATATGGATTGCTTGGTGGGTCTTGGATTCTGGGCAAAAAAGGAAGCTTTTCCTTTGCACCTCAATTTGAATTCTGCAAAATCAGGGGGACAACTTGAAGACCCTCTCTGACGAATTGGATTTGTTATCTATTTCTGTATAGCAAATTACCCCAAAATGTACTGACTTAAAACCACAAACATGTATCATCTCAGTTTCTGTGGGTGAGAAATCCCCGTGTGACTTTGCTTGGTGCCTGTGGCTTAGGGTACCTCAAAAGATTGTGCTTACGGCTGGGACCACTCAAAGATTCAGCAAGGTGGGGGTAGAACTACTCCCAAGCTTGGTGGGCCTCTTCACAGGGCTTCCTCAGGACTCGGCAGCTAGTTTTCCTCAGGGGAGAGATCCAAGAGTACAGCCAGGCTGGAACCTAGTATCAGGGTTGCTATGAGTTGGAACTGACTCTATGGCACTTAACAACAGCATTGTGCTTGTTGGAAGCAAGTCACTAAGTCCAGCCCTCACTCAAGGGGAGGGCATTACACAAGAGCATGGGCACAGGACATAGGGGCCATCGGGGGCCATCGGGGGCCATGTTAGAAGCTGCTTGCTGCACTGATACAAGGTAGGCAGGGAAGGGTTGGTTGTTCTGGAAAGCTCCTGTCCTGTCCGCTAGGACATCTGCTACAGCACAGTCATTGCCCACAAGGGATGCAGCCCCAGTGTTGCCAGATCTTCTGGTTTTTAAAGAAAAAGTAGAAATGATGATTTTTATATGAATGATCCTAATTCCTCAACATCCTCCAGAAATTTAAATAAGAAAAAAAAAAAAACCTCTAGATTGGAGTTCCTGAATAGTTCAAATGGTTAAGCACTCGACTACTAGCTGAAAGATTGGCAGTTTGAACCCACTCAGAGGCACCTTGGAAGAAAGGTCTGGCAATCTGCTTCTGAAAGTTCACAGCCATAAAATCCTATAGAGGCATCCAGTTGATAAGAAGAGAGGGCATATGCACAAGAATACCCACGCTTGCAGATAATACCCACTTGACCTGGCTTCAAAGACTGGATGATCAGAGCTCAACCAGTGAAGAAAGAAGAGGAAAAAAAGAGTAATCTGATACAGTTTGATGAACTTGACCTACACCTATGGATGCAGTAGCTCAAAAGAGGGAACAAATCTTTACAGCGAGGATCATTCCCACCCCCTCCATACATAGAGTAGACAGGGATGGGCAACTTGGATATTGGCTACCCAAAATGGAGGAGCTACAAAGGCAAGAAGTGACTGGCTTACAAGCTTTCAAGAGGGAACCTAGATCTAGAGGGTGTGAAGGAAGGTAGAATCTCCACTGAGTAGTATCCAGTCTGTCTAGGTGGGGCTGATGAAATGAAATGCTGATGGGTCTTTTGTGATACAATAGTGAATAATTGTTATCAGGACTGCTTGTGAAGGTTGGAAATGTAAAGGTAGACATTTTATAGCAAGGAGGGGAGTGATTAACTTTTCAGTCTAGGAGCAGAGGTCCCTGAGACCTCCCTACCCAGAGAAACAGTGACGCCAGAGATGGAGGCAGAGACGATGACGTGAAGAGATGGAGCAGCTGGGAACTTTAGACACAGAGAGGGAGAGTGGCTGTGTGCTGACAACCAGGGGGCAGGCTTGTAGTGTATACCCTTTAGTTGGTTGATGATGCATGGAGGGGATTGTAACCGTGGCAATGAAACGATATACGATAGGATGAATGTAAAACTATTATTCTCCCATGTAAACTATCACATCATTCACAATAAAACATTAAAAAAATTAAAAATCCTATAGAGCAGTTCTACTCTGCACACCTGGAGTCCCCAGGAGTTGGAATTGTCTCAACAGCAACTAACTACATGAGCTGGATTGTCCTGCTCCCCAGTAAGACCCCTGTAACCGCAGGAGTTTTCTTTGAGCAATTAGGGTGGCCTCCTCTGTTCCCACTTGGGTGGGTAGAGGGGAAAGGGTTGGGTGAACAAAGGCGAATCAGAGCATCCAGTTTTAGCTCAGTATCTCTATGGCCACAGGGCAGTGGGTTCTACATGAAAAGTACCAGGCATGGACCCAGGTCCATCTCCAGAGCCTACGGAGTGTTGTGTTCCAGGGCTGGTGGCGGGCAGCAGCTCGGCAGAGACTCATTATGACCAGGACAGAGGAGCTCCGACTGCAGAGGTGGGTGGTACTGCCGGTGGGAAGGTGGGGAATGGTAAGCTATTCCAGGAGAAGCAGGAGAGTGTCCAGGGGACAGTGGGGAGCTGGATGACTTCTGCAGTTCTTGGGGTGGCTCAGGCTGGAGGTCTGGGACCTGGAAAATGGGGGACATGAAGGTAGACCCCAGTTTGAGTTAGGACCATGAGCACAGTCTCTGCTTTGTGGAGGGGTGGCAAACCCCCAACCCAACAGTGCCCAATGGCCCTGATTAGCCCTAGGACTCCCCACCTCTTGGCCAGGTAAATCCTGTGGTTCCAGAAGATACACTTAAACCACCAATTGCTGTAGACTCCATGTGTGTCAAAACTAAACTATAGGGTTTCCAATGACTGAGTTTTTTAAACTAGATTACCAAGTCTTTCTTCCAAGGTGGCTCTGGGTGAACTCAAACCTCCAACCTTTAGGTTAGCTGTCGAGTTGTGTTAACTATTCGCACCCCTCAGGGACTCTAGACGGCACGGTTAAGACGGATGGGCTTATGCAATGCCACCAGCATTCACAATAGCACGTGTTTCAACACCAAGCTTGTGGTGGTGTAGCTGTCGGAGAAATGAACACAGGAGGATTCTAATGTGCACAGCTGCCAAAAGAAAAGAGAGAAATTTAAATTTAAATAAAGTAAAACATGTACCATATCCTTAGACAAATAACATGTATGGTATGTTTTTGTTTTTTCAAACCATGAAACCCTTAATGTATTCGTTTCCTATCCAATCATTTATATGGATGCATTATGTGCAAAAAAAAAAAAATACAGTATATTTTTCATTACAGCAACTGTTGAGGCCACACATGATGCTCCTTACACGGTTTAGCTACAAATTCACATATGTTCACGATGAACCCACCAGGACATGGGACCAATGACCATAGATGACGGACATCCAACAGCCTAGACATTTCATTGGGCCTCAGGGAGTCGGGTACTGTCTACCCCAAAGTGGTCATGTGAGGGGAGGCAGGCTGTTTCCTTGCCATAACTAGGATTTGAACTCATGACTCTGAACTCTCACATTGGCAGCCCTTGCCCCTGCAACTTGGGATTCTAAGACAGAGGTTCTGAACTCCCTAGACAAAAACCTGTTCCACGTCAGTCAATATGTTCTTAAGGCACATGGATGTATACATAAAACTGCATATCATCTATGGTACTTGGTGGGTGATTTGAGGGTGTAAATGGGTAAATGTGACTTGTGCCTGCCTTGCAAGACTGAGCTGGGTCCCTCTCCGCTCCTGTTTTACAGCCACTTCCAGGCCTGGCGTGGACTTGTGAGAGAAGCTGGGGTGCTCCAGGCCCAGTGCCAAGCCTTCCAGGACAGCCAACTAAAAAGGGCAATAGGGGCTGCGTTCACTGTGTGGTGGGCAGACCAGGCACAGGAGCAGCGCATGGCCCGGGCCACCATTACCCACCAAAGCAGGGCCATGAAGCAGAGCCAGGCCCAGCAGGCTTTCTCGGTATGTCCAGGCACCCCACACCAGCACCACAAGGCCCACCGGCAGGCAAAAGAGAGGGCCCAGGTCCAGGCTGGGGTGACCCTGTGCTGGACACTGTGGGTGCATGAGACCCACCTGCGCCAGGTCAGCCGAGCCCATGCTGCCCGCAAGCTGAGCATCCGGTGAGTGTCCTGTGGCCATGGGCAGCCCCTGCTGGGCTTTGAGTTCTGGTTTTAAGGGTGGAGGCTGTTCTGTGTCTGAGAGGCAGGACAGGGGGCTTGGTGAGGGAGAGGCAATTCTGGCCTTTGTAGGTAGTCCTGGGGTTGGATCCCAGCTCCGGGTGACTCTCCTTGGACTAAACTCTGTTAAAGGAAGATAGCAGCAGCCCTGTCTGTTAGGGTAGTCACATAATTAGAGATGATGTCTGAAAGTGTTGAGTTCAGGGCCAGGTACACAGCGGGTGTTTAATAAGCAGATGCTCCAGTGGGGGAACAGAGGCAAAGCACAACTGTCAAGTGACCCTCTCTCTGTCACTAAACAGGATGCGTGTCCCAGTGGTGTGATATCCCACCCTCCATGTCCATTTTAGCTCCGTTTCTCTAGAAGAGAGTTGAGGAGTGAGGGACACAGTCCTGATGCTTTGCTCACAGGTCCTCTTCACACCAGGGCACTGTTGAGGGCTCCTGATATCTCACTGTAGGTGGGTAGCCCTGACAACCTCAGCTGTGGCTCCTCCCTCTCCCCCAGGGTCCTAGAGGCTTGGGCTCAAGTGGCAGCCCAGGCCCGTGTCCAGAAAGCTGCTTTTGCCCAGCTACGGCAGGCTAGATCCAGACTTCTCCTGTGGACTCACTGGGCCCAGTGGCAGACAGCGTTGCTCAGAATGCGGCTGGGAGCACAGACAGAGATGGAAGAGACATGTAGGGTCCACCTGAGGCCCAGGGCTGGCCTCAGGCACTGCCTGAGCCTGGCCAGCAGAGGGCGCCTCCTGCTGATGGAGGTCCCTGCCCAGGACCAACAGGTGAGAGGCGCTCCAGATGGAGGGGTGTTGTTAAATGCCAGTGCTGTCTAGTCGATTCTGACCCACAGGGACTTTGTAGAGGGTTCCCAAGGGACAGCTAGTTGAGTTTGAACCACCAACTTCACGGTTCAAACAGATCTTGCGGTTCAGTGCATTATCCTGCAGTGCCACACCAAGACTCCACAGCGTTGTTAATAGGTACAGTCAAGTCAGCGCCAACTCAGTGACCCTATGTGTATAATAGACAAAAACACTGCCTATTCCTGCTCCGTCCTTATAATCATCACTGTGTTTGAGTCCACTGTGTCAATCCGTCTCACTGACATTCTTCCTGTTTTCCACTCTCTACTTATCCAAGCATAAGACAGGTCTTTGCTAATGTAAAAGAGATGGAGCTTCACAATCTTCACTTCTAAGGTGAATTCTGGCTGTACTTCTTCCAAGACAGATTTGTTTGTTCTTCTGGCAGTCCATGTTCTATTTAGTATCTTTTTTGCCAACACCATAATCCAAAGGCATTAATTCTTCTCCAGTCCTTCTTATTCATTATCCAGCTTTTGCATGCATCTGAGGCAATTGAAAATGCATACATGCTTGGTGGCAGGGCCACAAATGAACACAGGCCACTGGCCTTGCTCCTTATTGACACTTTGCCTACTGCTTTCAATCATTCAGCAATCCCTGGCTTCCGGCCAGCTTCCAGACTGGCAGACAGCCAACTCCAGGATGGGATCCCATCAGCAAACATTTACCCAGCACCATATGCCAGTCCAGCTTGGAGCCTGGCTACAAAGATGAATATGACAGATGAGTGCTTTACCAGACAGACACCTGACCTCATCTAGAGACCGTCTCCTAATACGCTGATCTACATTCCAGCTGCCATCTAGAATCAATATAGGGACATTGGGAAACAGGAGCCATTTTATCTGTGCTTTAATTGGAAAAATGAAACTTGGAAAATACCAAGTAAAAAATGAAATTTCTCCCATAATTCTAGCTACTGAAAAAATAACCACCAGTTCCATTCTCGACCAGAAGCAGTTAGTTCTGACAGCAGCAAATAGGAGCGAAGTAGCAGCAACAGTGAAAACCAGGCTCCGGAAACAACCCTGCGTGGCAGTCTGGGGTCAGGCCGTTGAGGGACAGAGAGCCCCAGGTACTGGAGCTCTGAAGTCAGCCCCACATTGCAGGATTCCTAAAGGATTGTTCCTAAGATGATCTGTCTTGCCAAGAATTCTGTTAGAGAATACCAAAACCAAGACTGTTGTCGTCACATGGATTTCGACTCATAGTGACCCTGATCTCAGGATTTCTGAGGCTGTAATCTTTAGTAGCATAATGGTTACGAATTGGGCTGTAAACCACAAGGTCAGCAGTTCAGAACTAGTAGCTACTTCGTGAGAGAAAGATGAGGCTTTCTGCTCCTGTAAAGATTTACAGCCTCGGAAACCCCGTTTAGGGTCGCTATGGGTCGGAACCGACTCAACGGCACTTAACAACAGCAACAATCTTTAGTAAGGAGTCATGATGTGGCACCTGTGGGATAAACACTGAACCGCAAGGTCGGCGGTTCAGACTCACCAGCTGCTCCTTGGAAACCCTGTACAGGGTCGCTCTGAGTAGGAACTGGCTCAACAGCACTTCACAACCATCTTTAGGAAAGCAGACTGCCACATCTTTCTCTCACTCAGTTGCTGCTCTTGTTAGCTGCTGGGGTGTCCGTTCAGACTCTTGAGACTGTATTCGTATTACCAACCTTTCAGTTAGCAATCCCAAACCACTGCTTCACGAGGGCTCCTTTGTGAATGTCAGGGAGTGGCTAACAGACTTAGAACCATTTCTAGAAAAAAAATTTATTTTTGTAATGGTATCTGAAGACCTGGACTGTGACCCACCAGGTCGGCATTTCAAACCCACCAGTTGCTCATTTTTGCTGCTGTGCGCACTGCTGCAGTGAATGTGGGTGTGCATACATATCAACAGGTGTCCTAGCTCTTATTTCTTGGGGATATATACCAAGTGGAGGGATTGCTCAGTCATAAGATACTGCTTTTCTCAACTTTTTGAGAAAGTGACATACCATTTTCCACACTGGTTACACCATTTTACAGTCCCACCAGAAATATAGGAGGGTCCCAGGGTCTCCCCACCCTCACCAGCATTTGTTATTGTTTTTCTGATTCCTGGTGTGGCACTGTGGGTTAATGCGCCAGACTGCAAGGTTGGTGGTTCAAGCTCACCAGCTGCTCCTTGGAAACCCTATACAGGGTCACTATGGGTTGGACCCGACTTGACGGCACTTAACAATGGCTAATGATTGTGAACATTTCTTCCTATTTGTTGACCTTCTGAGTGTCTTCTTTGATGAAGCATCTGTTTATTTTTTAATTTGGTTGTCTTTTTCCTGTAGAGATGTTGTAGCTTTCTATAAAGATTAATCCCTTGTCTGATATGTCACTGCAAAAAATTTTTTTCAAGTCTGTAGGTTTTGCATTCCTTTGGTGAAATCTTTTGATGCACCTACATATCTAATTTTTATAAAGTTCCATTTGGTCTTTTGGTGTTTGTGTTTTTAGTTGTTTGCTAGTACACTTACACCATCTAAAGGGGTGCTCTTGATCGGGAGTCCTGGGGTGTCCCTGTAAGACAAGCACTGGACTTTGTTAACCATAAGGTCAGTAATTCAAACCCACCAGCTGCTCCTCAGAAACCCTGCTGAGTTGGAAGTAACTAGATGGTATTGAACAATTTTGATTTTCTCAAAGGACACCAGACAATCATGGGGACTTATTAAGAAAAGTGAACACCATATTTGTGAGGAAAAGGTCAGGAAGGGTGTGCTACAGTGCACCTGGTCACCCTTTGAGGGTATCAAGGACTGTCAGGTGAGAATTTCACTGGAAAGCCCTATCCCATCTACCCTACAGCCCTCATCTTACCACTGTTCTCAAAACTCAAAACTCAAAAAAAAAAAGAACACAATTTAAATCTTTTGAGGATGCCAAAACTGCCATTTTGACGTGGGTGTACATCAAAGAGCACAGAATTCTTTTAGGGGCGGGGGAAGGGCTAGATAGAAACACTGCCTTCAGGCATGTTTAGATCAAAATGAAAGATATGTTGAGTAACAGTAGCTTCACATTTTGATCTGTTTAGTAATAGAGGTTTCTATGATTTTGTAGAAATACTTTTTGGTTGACCCTCGTATGTGTTTATAGGGCAGTCTTACTTTCAGAGGATTTTCCTGCATACCTTTTCTATCTCTGTAAGCAAAATAAGGCAGGGGTCCCATTTTACTGATGAAGAAAGTGAGGCTTCTAGTGAATAAAAGTAAATGCAGGGAATGGTAACTAGGGCTCCTAATTCTGAGTCTCTTTTCTACCATGTGAACGTTTATTAATGCCCAAGCATCTGCCACCTGCAGTGTGTAGGTGTGGTGCTATGGTGGCACAGAGCCTTCTTCAAAAGATGCCTATCTGAACAGCGGCACCTGGAAGCTCAGACTCTTGAGTCAGACTGCTTCACAGGGCCGCAGGGGAAGTACTTAGCCCAGAGTCAGCTCTCCTGGAGTGGCCACCCTGTGGGAGAGTGGGGAGAAAGAGACACAGGTGTGTTCGTCTGGCCATACTTGGCTGAACCCTTGTCTCCTCGAGGGCACATGGAGAGCCTGATGTGATGTGAACCACTCCATCTGTGCAGACATTAGGGGTTAGGCCCAGAAGGTCATCCTGGATCAGGAGGTCCAGCCGATGGACTCAGGTTGTCTTCTCTGCCGATTCCATTCTCTTAGGTCCACAGCTGCTGGACGCAGGCCTCAGGGCCAGCACTGCACCACCTCAGTGGCCAGAGGGAGTGGCCAGTAGCACCCAGGGTTCAGGGTAAGGAGCCTCTCCCCTGGGGAAAGGCCTGAAGTGCGGGAAGAGGTGTTTCCCCACTCCCAAGAGCCTCCTTGGTGAACCTCTGTCTTGGTTCTGCGTCTCCCCGACCCATTTCCCCCTCACACCTTGCCTGCTCTCTCCTTTGAGCTACTACTCCAACAGTGTGTAGTCTGAGGGAGGATCTACCAGCCATCACTCAACTCCCCTTTCCAGGAGGCAGACAGCAGGACCTCCGGTGGCCCCCTGCCTCCTGCCGGCCTCACCTATGTCATACCATCCAGCTCTGGTTGCAGTGTTTGCTCTGCAGTCACGGGGCCCCCGACCTGCCCCACTGGACAACACCTATAGAACTGGATGGAGACTACAGCTCTGACGGCAGAGTCACCAGAGAGGCCCATCAGAGGCTGGGGTAAGGGCAGCAGCGTCAGGGGGTCTAGGTGAGGGGGCTGCTGAGTCAGGACCAAAGCTGGGCTCTCTGGCCGGTGCTCACAGGATCCAGGCCAGCGGCTTTGTGGCCCTTTCCTACTCTTGAGGGCCATTGATGCTCAGAGCATACCGCGGGGCCTTTCCCCACAGGATGAATCGACAGTGTTGGCACCTAGAATCACTGCTTCACCAGCTCCAGGCCTCCCAGCAGACCAGCTGCTTGGCAGCTGCGTGGCAGTGTTGGGTAGATGCTTACAGGGCAGAGCAGTTGGCGCAGACCCTGGTGAGTGGGGGTATCCCCAACCAAGAGACCTCAGATCTGGTCCATGGGCCCATCTCCGTCCCATTCCAGCCATTTCTGAACCCGAATACCTACAAAATGTTTCTCACGGTATGGTCTACAGACCTAAGTCCAGAACCTCGGAGAGTCTGCACTGCCAACACACTCCTCACATGAGGTCTCTTCCCTCTGCCCAGAGCAGCAGGAGGGTCCCAGGAGTCTGGGGGAGGGAGGCAGTGATGTGCCCAGCCTGGGGCTTTCTTTGCCCCTGTCCCCACAGTTCAGGTGGTGGCACCTGAGATGGGCCTGGGGGATGTGGCGGCGACGGATCTTGCAGCTGTGGGTAGCTCAGCGGTTCTGGCAGCAAGAAAACAGCTGCATCCTCTCCCAGGTACAGGCTGTGCAGCCCCCTCCACTGCTCTCCATCAGCCCTTTCAGGGGACATTTCTGAGCTGGGAACCTCCCTCTCACTACACCCCAGCCTATTGGCATCTAGTTCATTCCAACAGAAAGCAACCCTATAGGACAGAGAGGAACTGCCAAAGGGCTTCCAAGTCTACCATCTCTACAAACCAGACTGCACTTTCTCTCTCTTAGGGGTGGGTGGGGGGTGTTGATCTGTTTACCTTTGGTTAGCAGTCAAGTGCTTAACCCCTTAGCTACCAGAGCCCCTTCATTTCAGGAGAGATGTGTCTTGCTATAGAGCTAGAGTCCCACATCCACTGCTTGGCTTGTAAGAAGGCCTAGCCTGTGCTCACAGCCGCTGTTCATACTTGTTCTTGGAGGCCAGACTCCCTCATTTGCCCCGCCCCTGAGCATGGCTTCTCAGGTCCAAGGTCTATTTTGAGCCTGTCTGTCCAGCCAGGGGAGGGGCCTCCCTCAGACAGCAGGCCTGCCAGGGGGAAGGTCCCAGAAGCACATGGCATTCTCCCCTCCTGACTCCAGGCCTTTGAGAAGTGGCACAAGCGCCTGGCAGCCAGGGGTCGGAGAAGTGGCGCCAACAGCAGCCTGAGACCCCCAGGCAAGTTGGGTTCCCAGAGCCCTGGGACTGGGCAGGAAGATGCTGGAGCCCTGGACATGGTGGGCTCAGGGCGGAGCATGGAACCAGCTGCAGCTGTGACTTGTTTCCAGAAAAGCAAAAGCAGAAGCCTTCCCAGGGGAAGGAACTGTGGTCCACCCATCCGGCCAGTGCTGGCTGAGGCCCAGATGTCTATCCTATAGCATGGAGACAGGCCTCTGAGGGACAATAAAATGCCCTGAGTCCCAATGACTTCTCCTGCTTGGACTTTCCTCAGGCTGCCCCTCTGCCCAGGAGGGGGTAATGGTGGCCCTTGCAGCTTCAGCTTCCCGCTCTATGAATATCCCACAATGAGGGGTGGGCTTGGGGGGCTGGTATGCATGTGTGCCACCAAGCACAGGGGTGCAGACTGCCTTTATCTCTACAGGAATCCTTTCTCTCTTGAGCCACCAGAATATATACAAACACCTATTTGAAAAAGCAACATTGTAGAGGAAAAAAGCCCAGCTGAACTCTCAGCTGGTAAGAACAGCCTGCCTCGTCAGGTTTCAGCCACAGACCTGTCCACGGGTCTGGTACCTAGGCCAGCCAAGTAGGTAGACAGGCAGTGGTTTGCACCTTCAGTCACAAGTGGGCAGCGCCCAGCTGCCAGTGTCTTGGAGCTCTGTCTCTTCTGCAGACAAAAGCCCCCACCCACAGGCACTCTGCCTGCCCTCACAGGCCTGAAGTGTAAGTTCACTGGGAGTCTCTGCCCTGGTGCAATGGCCAGCCTCCTCCTCCTCCTTAGGGAGGACGACATGCCCCCATAAGGAATGCCAGGCTTCATGAGGGACCGACTTGGGTCCAGCCAAGCCTGGAAGCCTCTCCCGGTTTAGCTGCCATCACCATGTGAGAGTGAAGGCGAGAAAGGAGGGAGAAAAGGGTTTCTGGGAAGATGAGGACTGAGGACAAGGGAGGCGGGACTCAAGTGGCTCCAGCTAAGGACGTTGAAATGCTAGGTGACCACCGCCGTCTGGCTCGCATTCCGGAGCAGACCTGTTGAGCAGCTCCAATGTTTCCTCCATCACCTGCCACAGGCAGTTGTCCAGCTGAAACTCGTTGTCCACCAGGTTGACCAGGAAGTAGTTGTCATGGATGTACTGGATGATCATGCGGGATGGGGACTCCTCCTCATACAACTTGCCCCATTGCTCAATCCACAGGGCAAAGGCCTCGTCCTGCACACAGCAAGGCCACTTCGTTGTCCACGGGTCAGGGCCCCCCCAGCCATGCTCAGTGCCCAAGAGCTTGCCCACTCCCAACAGGGCATTTCCAGGAAGAGAGAAGAGGCTTGCTACCAGGGCCTCGCCCACCCCACCCCACCCCACCCCACCCCACACAAAAATAAACACAGTGAGCACCACCCTGGTGAATCCGAGTGGGGATACTGCCACCAAGACCTCTCCAGGTGGAGGGGACAGCTTACATCGGCTCCTTTACCTTCCAGAACATGAAGCTGACAGGGTCCACCACAGTAGGCTGGATAGTCTCCTGCCCGGGGAAGATACCCCAAGTGACTGTGTTGGGCTGTAACTCGGGGGCATTGGTGATGTTTTTATCCTGAGGATGGAGTGGGTGAGGGGTAAGAGAATAGCTGGAGAACCCCAACTTGATGGGGCCTCTTTGCTCAATTATCTTCTACCCTCTCTACAGCCATGCCTGTCCCCCCTCCTAGTTCCTCTCCATGGGGGCCCGAAACCTAGAGACCCCCTGAAAACATCCATCCTTCTCACTGGACTCCCATTAGCCAGCTGGTTCTATTTGTTTACTCGACTCGGTTCCCTCTGGTCCAGCCGACTGCTGGGCCTCTGTCTTCTACTTGGACTCCACACGGCTCCCTAACTAGCCTCCCTGCTCTGGTCTCCCATCTGTTCTCCAGATGGCAGCTCACTGTGACCTTCCTCAAATTAAACATGGAACCAAGTGGCTCCACTGCTGGAGACATGCTCCCTATTAGTCACCCCTGAAGCCCTGGCCCTGCTTCCCACGTTAGCCTCGTTCCTCAGCCCTACAGTAGCACCCCTTCGGCCCGGCAGCTCGGTGCCTTGACGCACTCTTCATCCTTTCCTTGGAATACCCTCTCCCCTCTGACCAACTCCTTTCCCCCATGAGAGATGACCCCTCTGAGAAGCTGACCTCCAGGCTAGTTATACCATACTTCCGGGATTCTGTGGCTGCTTTACCTGAACTTTCTTGTCCTATTTGTGCAGATTTGACATTGTCTTGATCTGTCTCCCTCTCTAGTTGCGAGCACTCTGAGGGGAGGGCCTGGCTGTGTTTGTATTTCTGCCAGGCACAACATCTGGCTGGTTAGGGCTGGGTGATGGCTAAAGGAAGAGTTAGATGCAAGTGCCCTGAGCCCACTCTCTGAGGCCCTGAACCCAGCCTACCTTCACGTCTACGACATGGTAATTGACGCGGGGCTCGTATCTTGTCAGCACTCGCAGCAACGCGTCTACGGTCTCTCGGGAAGTGAAGAATTCTAAGTAGGCCTGTGGGGGACATGGACCCTCGTCACAGGTGGCCCAGTGCGGGCCCCAGGCCTCCTATGTGCTGCTGGTGAACTGTGTGCCCCACACAGGGATGGAATCAGGAACTGAGGCTGGTCAATGCACAGCACGGGGTGAGGGGAGGACACAGGTGCAGTCCTCAGCATGGGTGGGTCTTCAGAATGCCTGCCACCTCTCCTCCCATCAGGCTCCATGGAGAGGGCATTCTGGGAGCTGGGCATGAAGCCTGCTTTGATAAGCTATGGTAATGGGCGGCACCACATGCTCCATCGTCCCCATCCCCAGATGATGATGATGACAGGACTGTGTCAGCTCCAGCTATGAGGGCTGGCCTGGGAATGTTCCCATTCCTGCAGGGTAGGCACTCTTACCCCCATTTTACAGAGGAGGAAACTGAGAGCAGAGAAGATGAGCAACTTGGTCACACTGATGGCGAACAGCAGAGCTCAAACCCAGATCTGATTACAGACCCCATGGTCTTGCCTTTAGAGCAGGGGTGGGGAACCTTTTTACTGCCAGGGGCCATTTGAATATTTATAACATCAGTCTCAGGCCACACAAAATTATCAACTTAAAAAAATTAGCCAGCTATATCTGGTCAAATATTTTATCCACTCACCACCAATTTGATGGCTTTAGCTGTGGTTGCCTTGGCAGGGCCAGACCAAATGATTTCGTGCAGGTCTTATAAGGCCTGTGGCCGGATGTTCCCCACCCCTGCTTTAGGGTGCCAAGTGAACTCTGGCAGTCCTGAGCGTAGTGACGCCACTCCCATTTTGGGCATTCCCTGTACTCTTGCTGTTGTGCTGAGCGCTTTACACATGTTGCCTCAGTTCATGCCCTGGACAGGATTTTCCAGAGACACAACTAAGGCTCAGAGAAGTCAAGTGGTCTACCCAATATCACACAGCCAGTAAATGGCAGAGTCCAGATTTGAAGCCTGACTTAAAGCGTAAGCTCCTACCCACTCTGACTCACTGCTGTTCAGAACAAAGCACCCCTCCACCCCCCAAAGTGCTGGTCATGCACCCTTAGCACACCTTCTGGAAGACGTAGCCCCTGCTGGGGCCCCAGCCCACAATGGGGTCAGAGGACGGCTTCCCGTTGATGTTGGGCTGGGAGTTGATGGTGAGGATGCCTTGCTGGTTCACATGCAGGAGCTCCTCCTTCAGCAGGCTGGTCTTGGCCGCCAAGGGCTCGTCATTCCAAGGCAGACAAGTCACCTAGGAGAGTAGGTGAGCCGGCTGGGGTGGCAGTCACATCTGGCCCCCTCCTTCACCGTTAGTCCTCACAGCCCCTGCCTCCCCACTGGATGACTCCTATAGCTGAAACCCTATAAAAGCTCCTCACAGACCTCCCCCAGGTGGTGGCTTCCCTTGGAGGAGACAGGCTCAGAGCAGGAAGTCACAGTGCCAGCAGCACTCACCTTGCAGCCCTTTGCGTTTGGCTCTCCGGAAAGGTAACGGACAAAGACTTCAAAGACACTTTCCTCACTGGTCAGCTCCTCCCCCCACATCTTTAGCAGCTCTTCCCGTGGGGACTTGCTTTTCAGGAAGAAGAGGTGGTAGTCTTTCAGCTCCCCAAAGGCTTGAGAGGAGGAATTGCCCCTGGAGGGGGAAGTCCAAGACCAAGGTCAAGGCAACCCCTGACCTTGGCCTTCTGAGAGGACAGTTATCAGCGCCATCCCTCCCCCCGCCCCCCGCCCAATTCCTATCAATCCTCTCCAGTACGTAGACTCCTCTGCATCCCCTACAACCAAGACCCACAGTTCCTTTGCAGCAGAGGGTCTGTCTGTGGGACTCACCATCGACCATTCGGGAACTTGTCCCACTCCCGGGTGCGATAGATGTAGCTCTTGGGTCTGAAGGTCCAGAAGATGGGACGCACATCCTCCTCCCGGCGCTTAGGGTGGGCGCTGACAGCCCAAGGCAGGGGACGCCTGGGCGAGAAGGAAGCCACAGGATGAAGGACTGGCTAGAGAGAGCAGGAAAGGTGCTCTGTTGGCTCAGAGGTTAAGTCGTCGTCTGCAAACTGAAAGATTGTCAGTTCAAACCAACCAGCCACTTCAAGGGAGAAAGATGAAGGAATCTGCTTCATAAAGATTAGAGCTTCAGACACCCTATGGGTGACACCCTCTGTCCTAGAGGGTCACCAGGTCAGAACTGAGCCAACGGCAATGGGTTTGCTGTCAGTGAGTTAGAGGGTGCGGGGAGGAGGGGAGCCCCATTGGACCAGGGTTCTTGGTAAATCTCAAGCTGTGCCTGGAGTTGTCACCAATGTTAGAACCCCCAGGGTGCCCAGCCAGCCACAGCACAAAACACACCTCGCACCACCCTGGGCAGCCAGCACTGCGGGGGCATAAGCGCTACTTGTGCCTTCTCTCAGACATCCCTGCCCACCTGACTTTTCTCCATGGTGTCCTTAGTCTGAACTCAGGGCCACTGTCCTCACCTGGGGCCCTCAATCCACATGCCCAAGCGCTTCAGCACCTCGATGGTGGCCACATCGCGGTTAAGAGTATAGAAGTGGAGGCCTAGCACCAAGCCGCTGACGAGGAGCTCCTGGCACAGCTTCACAGCCAGCTCGACGCCATAGTTATGGATGGCAGCATCATCGTCCTTGATGGGCTCGATGACATCCTTGATCTGCTGGGGCACCTCCAGCTTGGACAGCTTCACCAGCTGCTGAAGGGAGTGGTAGCTCTGTGCAGACATGAGGGGAGGGGAGGGGAGGTGGGTGTTGGGTCTCAGTCCACCTCTTACCGCCTCGCCACCCTTCTCCACAGTTCTGCCATCGGTCTGAACCATTCCTCAAGCATCTAGATGGACTCACGGCTAACATACTAGTCCTCTACCTAGTGCTTCTGAAGACTCACTGATCATCAGAATCACCTGTGAGACCTACATATCCCCTCAGATCTATCAGATCAGAGCTTTGGGGGAGTGGGTCTGGAAATTGATCGTACAATCAGGCTTACTCAATGAATCTGATGAGCAGCTAAGCTTGGGCAACACTCACCATCAAAATGAGACTGACCCTCTCTTGTAACACTACTTGTTGGGAAGCCAAAGTAGAACGAACCCCTAACAACAACACACTTTCAGCCCATTTCTGGAGAGAATCAGATGCAATCAAAATGGGGTGGCCAAACAACATTCTGCACATCTGACTGGTGAGAAGTGTAGCAGACATCACAGAACTTCAGCCTGAGCTCACACTTGGCTCTAAAGCTCTGGCAGTGTAGGATGGGGGCGTAGAGGGTGTCTATAACCATTAGGACCCTCACCTGAATAATAAAGATTCCAGGGAGGATAGGGCAGGTAATGCCTATATCAGTGCAAGC